TATTCGTTGATTAGCTCTAGTAATTTTCTGGTGGAGTCTTTAGGGTTTTCTATGTAGAGGATCATGTCATCTGCAAACAGCGAGAGTTTCACTTCTTCTTTTCCTATCTGGATTCCTTTTACTTCTTCTTCTGCCCTGATTGCTGTGGCCAGCACTTCCAAAACTATGTTGAATAGTAGTGGTGAGAGTGGGCACCCTGGGCAAGGAGTCTTTTGGTACGGTGCAGTGGAGATGGTTTGGCTTGAAAACTTTTCAGAACATATATTACCAATTGCTTGCCATTGAAACAGTTAAGTGATATGTTTTTTGATATAGCTGATTTTTAAACAACATTGAGGGCAAATGATATATTAAGTATCAAACTGATGGAGAGCAGGCAATTTGGAAATACTGCTTATCTGTACAACTTAGTAGCAAGTTAACTTCCACAGCCCTATGTTCCTCATCTGTAACCTGGGATAGTTATTTGCTACCTTCCTGAATATTCATTGGAAGGACTGATGCTGAAGCTGCCTGCAATACTTTGGCCACCTTATGTGAAGAACTGACTCATTTGAAAAGACCCTGATGCTAGGAAAGATTGAAGGGAGGAGGAGAAGGGGACCACAGAGGATGAGATGGTTGGATGGCATCACTGATTCAATGGACGTGAGTTTGAGTAAATTCTGGAAGTTGGTGATGGACAGGAAGGCCTGGCGTGCTGCAGTCCATGGGGTCACAAAGAGTCGGACACGATTGAGCAACTGAACTGAACTGAACTAATGTTTATTGTGAGAAATAAGTGAGATATTGTATGTGAAGAATATAAATTTTAGTTGTGTTTACTAAAGTTATAATTATTATTGCTTGCATTTTTAAGATTGTTATTTTTGTATGTTTCCACTATTGCTATTACTACCATTTTCAGGAATCATTAATTAGATAATGAATTTTTAGGTAACTAAGTGAATTTATTCAGTGAATAGTTGATATTGTCTATAGAAAAATACTTAGCCCAAACTGATGTTTTAATTTTTCCCATTTTACAAAGCCTTCCCCCATCTCCACTAATTATACTAGGGTCTTTTTCCTCTTAAGAACATTCCTGATAAAGAATATGAATATATGTTATGGATTTTCCTTTTGCTAATAACAGGGGAATAAGTGTCTGAGTTTTAAAAAGTGACTTAAGAACAGTTTTGTATAAATATGAAAAAATTAG